GTGGGTCTCGCAGAAAGAGATGTCCATAACCATGGCACGCACCGTACTATGTTGAACCGCGGCGGCGTCCCGGCCCGCCTCCTGGAGGCATCAGCCTGCAGCAGTACGTGAGCCCAGTAAGAAAGAAGAGACCTGGCCGTCATAGCGCATAAATTCACGTCCTCCAGGGCTAAAAGAGATTCCGGTATGAAGAACTGCTGCAATATTTCCAAGGCGAAGACGGTAAGCCCACGTTGTAGAGTCAGCTGGCATCCAAGGAGAATCGGAGCGATCCATAGGCTGGGAGAAAACATAGGCCGCACCCTAGCAGCCGTGAGCAGTCCTAATCTAAGTTCGTCGTGGTCATAAGGAAGAGTTGTGAAGAATAAGCCAGCGTTAAATGCAAACAAGGCCAGTCCATGGCAAGGAGGAAAGTAACGAAAGGGCAAGGGCTCCCTGCTGTGCTCGGGCCTTTCGAAGCCACGTAGCTAGGGCTTATAGGGTCTTATGGGCATTTTGGGGGGTGTTCTGCTCGTCCGGACAACCTGAGTCTCTTCGGAGCGACTCTTTGGGATTGGTTGTCATAGAGGGTGGCCTTCATGACCGAGCAGTTGGCACTGCGAAGCGAGTGATGCTTATTGGGAAGGGCCATTTTCCTCAATTTGGCATTACGATCCGGCGACAGGCCGAAGAATCAAGTCCCAAGTCCTTTGACCACGGAGGCCACTCTCGGCTCGCCCGGCCGGAGGGCCAATTTCAGCTGCTTCTCAGCAACCGGGAACTGGCAAAAAACTTGGTTTTTCCCATACTGATCTCCAACCCCTCAGCCTCGCTCAGCCTCCAGATTGCTCTTCAGGACCCGGAAGGCATGGCCTGCTTGATTGACTGCTCGACTTGGATCAAAGCCGAGTCCACACTACAGTCACTAAAGTCATCCAACCATAGGTCCGCCCCAATGACCCCTTCACACCGCTATGAGCCGGCTTTTTTCCGAGTCCCCTACAATGCGGGTCCAGCATGAAGGTGCGAGTTCGAGTCCTTGCAAGTGGTTTGGGGTCGGCCTTTTGGCTACTGTCAGGGTGGATGCAATGGATTGATTGTCAGTACTCGGATTCTGGAACGTGGCCGAGGGACATAAAGATAAGAATGATTAAACGCTAACGGAGTAAACGTTTCTGCACGTCCTGATTGTGTCAGTCTCAATGTGAAGAGTTGTAGCTGCCCCGAAACCTTACAATCCGAAGAGGCGAACTGCAGGCAGGCGGCTTGTGAAGCGTGAAAATGCAGGGTTGACGGTTTGCCATTAACCCTTTCAGCAGAAACATCGGTTGTGCTTCCTTAACCACCTGTACGTGTGCATTTCTGTGCAAAGTTAAGAGTTGCGACATGGCAGCCCATGCGGGCATTGGGAACAGTTCAGAACGCAGTTTTGGGCAGTTTCTTGACTGCATGACCGCATGTTGCCCAGCAGTTGCAACATTGAAACCAAAGCAGATCAGAGAAACGCTGCAAAGCCCAAGTTTTATGCTTGCGCATGTTTTGTTTCTACACATTGAGCGTTGCTCCATGAACAACGCATTTAACTTGACAATCGCTCAGTAACCTTCTCGTTGTTGTTTTCTGTTCAAGTGTACATTACTTGATTGCACATCATTGCAGCCACCAACATATGTTTGTACTTTGCTAGCGACAGCCTTTGCCAAGCCCAGCTTCCTAGGCTTGTGTAGTGGTTTTGCACATGCCATGGAGACTATCTGCAAACACTGCGGGAATACGTTTGCAAACGACTCGCAACTGGGCAGCATTCAGTACGTTGGTGGCAGTAGATATTGACGGCATTCGTCTAGGCATGATACTGAAACATTGTTGGACATCTGCTGAGTGAATAACAACTCAATCTTCTCGGTGTTTTGCGTCTGAGGAGATTCTGCCGCAAATGTGGGGCGAAGCGCGAGGCGAAACGTGGATCGTGGGGCTGGTGTGCAGAGGTTTCGGAACGCCAATTTTGCAGTCCAGCTTGTGCGCCGAGACGCATGGAGTGCTTGCAGCTGGTGCCCTTCGTGCGCAGGCACCGGTGCTTCGTGCCGGAAGTTGGTGTCATAGGGTTGTGACATCCACGACATGCTAGGACAATCAAGAGTTTCCGTGCACCAGAAATCGGTGCATTTAGAATTGGCCATGACGATTCTGACACAACCAGGCGCTTTGATTTCACAACATGATTTCCCGCGTGGAGAGTCCGTTTTGACTCCTTGTGTCCATGAATGGCAGGAGCAAGCTAGTTTCAAAATGTTGCGTCTTCTTTTTCTTAGTTGTTCATTAAAGATCGAGTTTTGGTCAAACACTTGTGTAGTGTCGTTTGTACAGCACCAGAGACGTGTCGATACTGATGGCAGTTAACGGTTGAATCCAGTAAGATTTCCGAGAAGCTCGCTAGCATGACTTGTAGGTTGTACCAGAACGAGCAGCTACATGACCTATCAAAAGTTTTATCATGTAATGTCGTTGTCGCGACCAGGCCATGCAATCGGGGCCTTGCATCGAACCGTGTGTCAATCCTCCAACGCAGGAGGCCTCCACTCGAGTGAACACATCGAGAGCACGTTGTTAAGCAACATTCGCGTGGTAAGTTTGCCGTGAGGTGCAGATAGAAGAGCAAATCGTGGAGGCAGTATTCTTAGAGGGATTCGCTCGCGATGTGGTTGTGGATGCCAGAATCAGATACATGAGGTACCCACAGTGCTGTACCAAGAGAAAGTGGTGGAGGCCAAGCTGCTTGCACAACAGCAATCAGTGAACGCCTGGTGACGCTTTGACTGAAGGTGCCCAAAATACAGGAGACGATCCTTCTGAAGCAAGTCCCGCGCGTTGAGGCATGCCAAGTAGAAGTCGCTTGATTTGTTGTTCATGGTTTTGATTTGATATGCTGACCTATGTCGCAGAGGCATGACTTCGCAAGCATGCAGGTATCTGGTCATAGGTATGCAAGGTGCAATACAAACCAGCATGCAACAGCCCGTTGGCGGTTCGAGTGAAGCCTGTTTTGAGAGTTCTCCAAACGGGCAACTGCAACAAACTATTCACGCGGGCTGTCTCTGTTTTCGGCTTGGAATGAGTGGAATACATAGTTGCGAGCTTGCAGGCCTTGAGCCTTCAGCCCACTAGTCATTGCAATGCAAGCGAGCTGACATGGAGCAATCTTTAACGTTGTTAGTCGTTTGTGTTGCAACCTCAGGTCATCTTAACCTGAAAGTAAGCGAGGCTCCAAGTACATTGTGCCTTGATGGGGGCAAGTCAACGTATCGGTGGAAGCATGCCTTAGCCTGCTGTCACTACTTTGCGAAGGTGTTTGACACTGTCCCAGACTGTAGGTATGTTGCGTGTGTTGGAGCCAATGGCAGCGTTGCTAATGCTTGGCTGGGCAGCAAGGCGCGGCCGTCTGGTGATTTTGCAAGATGTCTTTTGGAACAGATTATTTCGTAATGTTATCATTTAGGTATCAAGCAAAAACTAATTTGTGTGTTTTGGAGTGTAGGAGTTCTTAAACAGGCATTTCTCCATCTTGTTCTATTCAAGCCCATGCTTTTGGGCAGCTTGAGGACCCGGGATCCTTCTGGTTCTGCTGAGTATGCAAACTCGACTTGCGCAACATAAGCAGAGACTTGCCGATGCGCTTGAAGCTGTTGAAGCTGTTGAAGCTGTTGCCTCGTGAGTCGGTGTGATTGCGGTAAGGGCGTTCCTTTGGTGGCCGATGCGAGAACCCAGAGTTGCCCGATATGGCTTGGTCGACAAGCTTCGTCCGAGGCTGAGCATCATCAAGTGATCACAGCATATCAAAGACGAAGAGACCCTTCAGCCAGAAAACGTCATCCTCAAATCCTGGAGGTGCAAAAGGCAATCGGCCCAAGCCAAGCCTCCGGCAGGCTGTGGATCGGATCTTTCTTGTCGTGTTTTGCCCGGAAGGAGACCGCAGTTGACTTGGAACACCGTTAGGACAGGCGACATGCCACCACGGACTAGTCGGACTAGTGCTAGTTCCTACAATCTCGTCTTTGCGTGCGTATGTGAGAGCGCTTTGTCAAAGCATCGACAGCGGCAAGTGCTGCTCCAGGTGGATGGTCCTGTGCCGCTCTCGTCGGCGCTGCCGCCAGGTCAATTCCACAGCAACAGTCGGCTGTAGCTTGTTCTGTGTGTGCCACATGGCATGTCTGCACTTTCATCGTCTGTCATTACGTCGGCAGTAGGTTCTACTGCGCCTGATCTGCGAGCACGTGCACACCAATTGCATCTTGGACAAAGTCCTCAGACGAATGGACTCACGTAAGTCGAAGAGACATGGGGGGATTTCGCTCTGATTAATTGTTCCTTTCTGGATCTGCCGGGTTTGTCCGTGCATGAGATCCACTTTCCTGATGACTGCCAATGCATACCCGTCCCAATATTGCTAGGAACCTTTCCGTTGTCAGCATTGACAACTTGAGAAAAACTGTTGTTTGTGCTTGTCCATCTGAGGAGGGTTGCAGCATGTTGCAGCTGTCAGCTTCGTGCAGGAATGAGAACTTGTTGCATGTTGTTGCAGTGTTCGGGGACTTGTGGTAAGGTTTGAAGCTCGGCCAGAGCTCCTCGACACTGTGACGAAGTCATCGGACAGCGCTTTAGCTGCTTAGAAAGGTAGGGAGTGTTTCCAGCATGTACAAGGATCTAGGGAGCTTGAGGAGCTTGAGAGCAGGATTTCCTCCTCCAGCCCATGCTGCCTGCCGATGCCAAAGACCTTGCAGAATTGCAGGACAAAGGGTTTCATACTGTCCTTGGTAGTTGAAAGCTTTGAGATGCGTGCGCTTTGATATTCTGATATTCAGGAGGAATGGTTTCCAAAAGAGTCTTGCAGAGGACGATGTGTAGAGCTCGAAGTCCTGTAGGGCACAAGAGCAGTGTGGTTCTCCTCCGTAGCAGGAGGTGAGCCATGGTGCGCCCGGATGCTTAGCCATTCCGGCGTCATAGCTTTCAAAGCTACGATGCCTGAGGACAGCGGCTCAGGGCAAAAGACAACGTGTTGACAGTCACTTGCACATTGAATGGCATTCTGAACGTTAAACTTAGTTTCCAACTTGAAAGAAGATGTAATTTGGAAAGTGTCGGCGTTGCATGTCGGTTTTGCACATCGCAGAGACAAGCAGCAACAAGCAGCAACAAGCAGCAGCAAGAATGGGCATCATCTTGCTTTGCAACAAGAATTACAGCAGTGAGCTCGGGTGGTGTGCATGAGAGAACACAGCGATTGGATACAACAAACGCTGCCAGCAGCTCGCAGCAGCTCTCAGGATGACTCAGCTGCTCCCGTCGGCATTGTCGTGGCGCTCGCAACACGCGAGGCAATTGAGGTGCGAGGCACGCTTTGCTGAAGAGCATAATGCACGCCGATAGGTTTGTTAGGTCGTCGACCATGTTTTCCAGCTGGCCTGTTTTGACAGCTGGCGCGAAGTTGCAAAGCATGACGAGATTTTGCACCCCTGTCAAGGAGTTTGCAGGTGAAGCCACCGTTGACATGTTGCGAAGTGAGCTGACGATCCCCAACTACATTGCCTGGGACAGCGCCTGCCCAAGTAATTGCAACAGATTCAATTGCCCGCTCGGTGTTGGCACGAGGCTGCAATACATCTGGATGCCTTCGCTTTGGACAGGCGCTGACCGCAGAGAACTTGGCTATATTCTGAGCCTGGGCAGCCTGGGAGAGGCCTGGAAACATGTTTGTTTTGGCGAGTTTTGGCATGTTTCGCTTCCAAATGCCATTGAGCCAGCAGCACTCACTCTTGAATCCTCTATGCAATTTTTGTTGGAATTTGGTTCTTCAACGCTTTGCAGCTCCGCCGCCGTGGTTTGGCATCGGCGCTGCTCCGTCGGACCTTGGCCGCCTTGCGCACAGCGGCCAAGCCGCGGGAAGAGCTTTTCGGAGGCGGCAGACCTCTGCTTGCTCTGCTTTTGTCGCGAATAATGAGGTGCTGTAGCGGACCCTTGGGCAACCATTCCTCACTGGCAAGAAAGGATGGCCGAAGATCTGTGCAGGTGGCGGTCCGAAAGACACCTCACTCAGGGCTGTGGCGCGCGGCTGAGAGAGGACTCATACGGACAGAGGAAGTGTTGTAAGAGCATGTACAGCAAACACAAAAGGCGGGCGACCTGCCTGAATCGCTATGCGAGTATGCACACATCTGTAGGCGTGTACTTCAGCGGCCCTGACCGAAAAATGCTGGAATCGTCGTAGATATCGTGGTTTTATGAGCACGTTCCTCTACATGGTGCGGCATATGATGTCGGGCGCCTTCCGGGGTGTTTGGTGGAAAACCTTCAGAAACTCAGGATTTTTATACAAGGTTTTGGTACCTTTTTACACCTTCCCGTTTTTAGGGCTACGGGCGTTCCGTGGAGGATGTGGAGGCCTCCCGCCGGCCCCCACGCCGTTTCCATGAAGACTTGAGGGGGTCGGCAGCTGCGACGCTCTTCTTATCAAGCAAGCTAGCGCTTTAGTGCGACGCGGCTCCGCCCTGGACCACGCTCGGCGGGGTAAGGATTTCAGGCCTAGCGGGGCCTAGCGTCACGGGGTCACGGGTCGGCCCCCCGCCCCGAAACCCCTGAGAAAAGGCGGGGTGGCCAACAGGAGGCCGGGATGGGTTCGGTCATTTTTTTTGTGAAGCATGAAACACGATGTTCACCTTCCTCCTCTCTGCCAGGGGTTCGTGCTGGGTGTTCTTCGGCTTTTATGTTCGGTTGTGGCTTTGGCTTGGTGTGGGGTCTTTTGCTTGCCTCCTGGCAGTGGGGTTTGCACTGAGGGTTGCTGGTCTTCGTTCTTGGCTCGGCAAGGCTCGGGGTTTTGTTCCCAGAAGAGTTTCCCGAGCTTGCTTAGTTGAGTCTTCTGTCTTCTGGCACAAGTTCTGGACAACATGCTTCCAGTGATGTGCCCCAGCAGACGCCCCAACACCATGTCGATGATTCGGCGCTGAGACCAACGAATCTACAAAAACAAAAACCCAACTTTGAGCAATGAGCTGGATCTGGAACATGTGGCCTCATAAAAAGCTACACACACCCACCCGCCCACCCACCCACCCACCCACCCACCCACCCACCCACCCACCCCCCCACGCACGCACGCACGCACGCACCCACGCACGCACCCGCGCACGCACGCACCCACGCACGCACGCACGCACGCACCAACGCACCCACGCACCAACGCACCCACGCACCCACGCATGCACGCACGCACTCACCCACTCTTGCCGCACGCGCGCGCTCGTGCGCGCATGCCAGACACGTGTAGCTCCGCTTGGAGTTGCAGGATTGAAGCGAGGAACAACTGCAGAAAGTATTTTCGTGAATGGACCAGTGACCCCTAGGTTTCGGGCCCAAGATGCGTGCATGGGACAGGGCCCCCCCACCCTCCCCCTCTCCCCTTCCACCCTCCTCTCCCTCCCTCCCGGGCCCCCCCCCTCCATGGTTTCCCAGTGTTGTGGTTGTGCAGACCCGTCCAAGAGCAGAAAGTTTATATACTGCTCTGTGCCCTATTGGTATTTTCTTTCCTTTGTGACTATTGTTTGTCGGCATGGAAAATCAGGAAACCTGTTGATGGTTGTTAAAAGAGGACGTGTGCAGGCCGCCGTCGGCCGCAAAGGAGCTGCAAAGCAAGTTCCGTAACAGCCGAAGCCAAGATACAAGGACAGAGTATGAGGGCAGTGTGAACGCAATGCGCGCTGCGAACTGAGGCACTGCATCTTGCCGGCTACAATCGTCCGCGTGGCAGCAAGTTGCAGAGCAAACGCCGTGGAGTTGCCTGATTCACTTAATTAGACATCTTCCGGCAACGAGGTGTGGCGCGAGCCTGCTACGAACGGGCTGGCTTCAAGATGCTGAAGGAGTGAGGGTGAACCTATGTCAAGCCACCGATGCTGCTATTGCTTGGATGCCTTTCATGTTTGAGGAGGAACCGGAATGTTATGCCGGTGTTGGGCGAGAGAAGCATTCTTCTTTGTTGTAGCCTGGATGGATGATTGGCCATGTGATGTTGTGCCGCCTCGGCCCGGTCCTTGCGGCGGTCCGTATCGTAGGGAGCCTTAGGGGTATCAGGGTTGTCTTGGCTCCTTCATGATTTTTTGTGGAAGTACAGGCCCTCCAAGATTGAAGAAAAGGGAGAAAAGGGGCGGTGGTGAAACAGACTGAAATGGGGCCTTTGTGGGAACCTCTGACGCCCACGGCAGGCCGAGGCGAGTTCCGGGTAGCTATGGAAAGCAGCGTGGATGTATGCAGCGATCAAAGCCACCTCAAGGTATGCGCTGTTCTTGACCTGACCCGCGCTGTCTTGCGCCTCTGGAAAAGCACTGTTGGTCGAGTTATGCGGAGCTCGTGCAGTAAGAGTTTTTCTACCAACATGCTACGACGCGATGTTTCAGCAGTTCAGCACGCTAGAACTGTATCTCATGCAGCAATTTCAAGCAACAGCAGGTGCAGGAAGTGACGAAAGAAGTGGCGAGACCAGTCTACGAGGCTTTCGGGAAGGTTTCAGTTTTGACTGCGCCTTCCGAGTGTGGGCTGTGGCTGTGGCGGCTGTGGCGGCTGTGGCGGCTGTGCCTCAGGTGATCGAGAAGACTGTTGAGGTGCCACATATCCTAGTACACGAGCGTATCGAGGAGGCCGATGGGCTTTTGACAGTGTACCAGTTCTGTGATCGAAGCTCAACACCACAAGTCTGTGCAGGTTCCAAAAGTGGAGTATGTGAACTTGGTGAAGCAGATCCCCAAAACGCAGGTGCGAGAGGTGCCAAAGCAGGTGCGCTGCATGAGATGCTTTGAGGTCCAAGGTGCCATGAAATCTGTTGAGAAAGTATTGGGAATGAGGTTGGTGTGCCAGTCTACCAATGCCGAGAACGGGTGGTCGAGGCAGGAGTTCATTTGCCTTCTTACATGTCTGTGCATACAAAGCGCATCTGTTTGCATCAGATTTGCGGAGAGGTGTGTTCTTTTTGTGCTGATGACTCTGATGACCCACCCGACCCACGTGTGAAGGTTCCAACTGCCATGGTTGCTGAGCAGATGGTCGAGGTGCCGCAAGTTCACGTGGAGGCTCGAGTCGTTCATGCAACGGCGAATACTGGCCATTTGTCGTGGCATTCAAGGTGCTTTGTCATCGTGGAAGCAGTGGTTGCTTCTTGCTGCTGTTGTTGTTTGTTTGTTTGTTTGTTTGTTTGCTTGCTTGCTTGCTTGCTTGCTTGTTTGTTGGTTTGTTTGTTTGTTTGTTTGTTTGTTTGTTTGTTTGTTTGTTTGTTTGTTTGTTTGTTTGTTTGTTTGTATGGTTGTTTGGTTGTTTGTATGGTTGTTTGGTTGTTTGGTTGTTTGGTTGTTTGGTTATTTGGTTGGTTGGTTGGTTGGTTGGTTGGTTTGTGGTGGTGGTGGTGGTGGTGGTGGTGGTGGTGGTGGTCGTCGTCATCGTCGTCGTCGTCGTCGTCATCGTCCTTTGACCTGTAGGGTCATGATGGCAGACCGGTCGTTGCGCTAAGGGACTTTGCAGCGCTTTTTTCAGGTTTATTCGCTTTTCAGAAGGTCGGAGCAGGTTGTCGGGCTTTATTGAAGTCTGGGGCGTAGTCCCTGTACTCTGCATCGACTTTTTGCGCGTGTTGTTGGAACAGATGGGTCTGTAATCTCTCGGCTGTCTTTGTTCTCGTAATGCTTCGTGAAGGAGCTTGTGAAAGAAGTACCCCGACCGGAGGTGGGATACGCACTTGCTGTATGCATATGAGCCCTTGACTAATTGAGGATCTCGATTTGAAACTTGCGTCCTTGGGGGTATATACTCATTTGATTAGTCTTGGGCTCATATGGCCTTTTGCGATGGGTCAATGTCGCACACTTGCCTCTGCACATGGTGCAAGGTACAAGTTGTGGCAAAACCTGTGGAGAAGCCAGTCAATGAGTATGTCGAGAGGATTGTGGAGGCACGTGCAACCCGAGAACTCGCTGCGGCTGTAAATCTGTCCGTTGCCAGGTCCCTCATACAACGATCCAGGAGTGCATTGTCGAGGCTTGAAAAAGTGAGTCTTTGGATTCGCGCAGCTGCTCCAGCCTTGTGTTTGCAGAGGTGCCCAAGGTTGAGGTACATGAGCTGGTGAAGCAGGAGCTATGGGGAGGGGAATGGGGACACAGATGGAGACGCCGTCGGAGAGAGGGATTTCGACAGAGAGAGAGAGAGAGAGAGAGAGAGCGCTAAGAGAGAGAGAGACAGAGAGCGAAAACGCAGAGAGGTCTCTCTCAATCAGTCTGTGTTTCAACAGCCGAAGGTCCCGCGGCACGAGGTCCAAGTGGTCGATAAGCAGGCGCAGATATCGTTCCGCTAAAAAGGAGAGAGAGAGAGAGAGAGACAGAGAGAGACAGAAAGACAGAGAGAGAGAGGGGGAGAGCGAGAGAGAGAGAGCGAATGCACTGCGAAGACTTGTGGTGCCGTTGCGTTGCGCGTCGCCCCTAAAAAGATGCCCTACAAGAGATGAGAACGAATCAGAATGAATCGGACAATGTTTTGGATGTCTTGATCAAGCTCCAGTTTCTGGCAAGCTCCACTTGTGCCACACATTCACAGGAAAATGATGTGTTGTGCGAGGAAAGTCGGCTCAGCTGTCATAAATTCACGCAGAACTCACGCTGGTTTTTTGCGGCAGAGTCTTGGATGCGGATGGATGCGGATGGATGCGGATTGCGGTGGGGAAGCTGTGATGTGCAGCTTCGCAGTTCGTTTCTTCTTGGGCGGGCAGCACTGGACTCGCATTACCTTGGCTTGCCTTGACTTCCTCCAGCTTGTGGTGCTCAAGCTGGGAGCTGCTTGCGAATCTCAGCCTGAAGAATCGCACGATTTGGTGTGCAAGGCATGCTGCACAAGTTGTTTCACAATAGTAGAATTCTCGCACGTCGACTCGCGTCCGTTTCCCATTTCCTGCGTCCTCATGCGTCCTCATCCCCATCCTGTGTTCCGCATGCCGCGTCAAGCTCACACATCCCGCAGACCACGTCCTCATGTATCCCGACTTTAAAGTATGCAGATAGCTTCGCAGGCGCCCGCGATCTTCTGAAGAACTTTCGGCTTGGCTGGTCTCGCCACCTCACAGGCTGCAGGACAAGATCGACCGCCAGAGTAACCTCCAGGGCCCTTCGCTTATTGCCCAGAGGCCTTCACAGTGGAGATCCCTGCCTCACAGGATCCCAACCGCTGGAGGCCTCACAGGCAGTTGGTGGATGTGGCGGCCAAGCTCGCGGACTTCGTGAATGATGAAAGCAACGAAACACGCCTGCACAACAAAAGAACAGCAACAACAACAACAGCAGCAGCAGCAGCAGCAGCAGCAGCAGCAGCAGCAGCAGCAGCAGCAGCAGCAGCAGCAGCAGCAGCAGCAATAGCAACAAGCAGCAACAGCAACAAGCAGCGACAGCAACAGCGACAGCGACAGCGACAGCGACAGCGACAGCGACAACGACACAACGACAACGACACAACGACAACGACACAACGACAACGACACAACGACAACGACACAACGACAACAGCACCACGACAACAGCACCACGACAACAGCACCACGACAACAGCACCACGACAACAGCAACACGACAACAGCAACAGCAACAGCAACAGCAACGGCAACAGCAACAGCACCAGCATCAGCACCAGCAACAGCAACAGCAACAGCAACAGCAACAGCAACAGCACCAGCACCAGCACCAGCAACAGCAACAGCAACACATGGCTTCTTGCTGTATGTATCTCTGTGCTTGAAGTACGCGTATGTTTTGTGTTTTTGTTTTTTGTTTTTGCTTTGTTGGCTTGTTTGTTTTACCTGGCTTCTGGTTGTCTTTTTGTCGAATATAGCAAGCCAGGCCCAGAAAGGTTAGACGTTGATACGGTGGACCTGTCATCTACTTCAAGGATTGGTCTGTTGTGTGAGATGAGATGCCGCACTGCGACGTCTTTTTACGGATTTGGGGCGCTGTGCCCAGTTTGCATTTTCACCAAGCCCTAGAGTGCTAGAGCCCGCCAGCATGAAGCTAGACAAAACCGACCAATTTGTTAGTTTGTTGGCAGGTCGAAAAGGTGGAAATCCAATATGTCGAGAAGGTAGTGTCTGGGCTGCATTCTGCTCTCGCCAATGGGCTCGGCTCGTGGTGGAATCGCCCGTCACTAAGGTGGAGGTTCCACAAATCATCTACGAGGACGCTTTGGCTTTCCAGTAGCAGTCTCATGTATCCCATGTTTGGATCGTTGGAACTTAGACGTTTGGCCTTCGGTCCGAAGGAAAAGATCGTGGAAGTGCCCACTGTTGAAGTACGCGAGGTGATCAAGCAGGTTTCAAAGCCGGAGGCTGCGCACTTTCTGCTGGTGCTAGGATTCGGCCGCAAAAGCTAAGCTTCATAGCTTCATATAGTCTGGAGCTTTCCATGAATTCAGGTGTTCTGATGAGTCAGTGCAGTTGTCACATTGGCTCAAAGCTTGTTTCAGCTTCCACAAAAGCTCGGACACACTCACTGATAGTGTTTGATTGCTTGATTTTCTGATGTTCAGTGCGGTTTTGGACCCTTGGCAAAGACACTCATCAAAAGCTTTGCCGCTCGTCGCGAAGCCGAGAGCCTGTCAGCCTGTCGCTGCCACAATCGCTCCCATGGCGCAGCTGGATGCTCTAAAGCCTGTAGATGGCCTCGAGGCCCGGCCGCGTGTATGCAAGGGTCGTTTATCTTATTGAGTCATATTGAGTCGAGCGGGATCTGTCGAAATTGAATCAAGACAGCACTAAAAGCATGAGGGTGAGAGGGGATGAGAAGGGGGGGAGAGCGAGAGAAAGAGGGAGAGAGAGAGAGAGAGAGCCTTGGCGTTAGGTGATAAGCCACTGTAGATGGTTCCGAGTTATTCGAAAGCAAGCTGATACGACGCATCTTGATGCACTTTCCGGCATTTGTTGTAGCAAGAACCGAGAATGGTGGCCATCGTGCCTCCATTATATTGCTGAAGCCAGGCCAGCCCTAAAATTACAACCGTTAGGTCTCCGACTCTTGAATGTGCGATGCCGGATGCTGTGCGAGTCTCACGTTGTCGAGCATACAACGGATGCCGCGCAATGCTCTGTAGAATGGCTCTTGTAGGACTTTCCAAGCTCTCCCTCCACTCCAGGCTCCAGAGATGGCGTGGCTTACCACAGAGCATGAAGTCGTTTCTTGGCAGCGTCTGGAGTCACTGTAGTCACATTGTGTAGTGGTGTATGTATAGTTGCTCTGTGGCTTCAGATCATCACCAAGGAAATGCAGGCATTTGTGCACCAACATCTGCTGAGCATGCTCAGCCCGTTCTCACAGCGGCTCAAGGATATGCAGGACGAGATCGAGGCCAGACTGCTCAACTAGCACATGTGGCGGCTTGTGGGGATTGATGCCAGAATTCTAAGGCAATCAAGGATGATGCGCGTCGTAAATCTGAACACCTCAAGCACACGGATACGGTGGTGAAGCAGCTTGGCAAGAGTTCGCGAGGTTCAATAGGTGATAATCGGTGAACAGAGCCTGGAACTTGCAGTTTTCGAGGCAGCATGGCCAGGAGTTGATGACTTTGACAATGGACATCAACCAGGCGCTGGATCTAGATATTTCTAGATTCATCTGAGAGTTTGGTGAATTCAGTGGGCAGATGTGGGCAGCCTTGACAAGTGCAGGCGCACACCGCTGTTGGAGGCCTTCGGCAGGAGCTTCTGCCTGAGATTAGCAAGAAGATCGACGAGAGGAAGGTGGAGGATGAGTTCACCAAGGCTCACTCTGAAGTTGGGGAAACAGGCTTAAGCATCGAACTTCCGCCCTTTCGCAGAAGTTTGATGAAACATCCCCCGCCATAAAATGATGCCGGCCGTGTTCTGGTTCGACATTGTGAAAGCGCAGCTTGGAGCGCAAGGTACACCAAGAGTTGAAACGATTAAAGACCGACTTGCTGTCCCATCCTCAGCTGTTCTGGAAGCTGCGTGTTTGTGCTGCATGGAGCTGAAGGTCCACGGGAGATGTGCATACCAGAGTTGACGCGGAACTGCGTGACCTGCAGGTTGCTCAGAGGCGAGGCTATTGTGTTAGATGATGCGCTTGCTTTTTGATATGATATACGGGCATGTACAGGGGCTCACTCTTAACAAGCTACACGTTTTGAATACAGCACAACACACACATGTCACCCACCGTTCTGAGCAACCGTTTTCGCCATAGAGCGGGATGGATGAGCTGATCACTAATCTGTACCTGCCTGGTGATAAGTGACATGGTGCATCACCGGTTTGCGATGTTACATAGTTGCTGTTGTGGTGAGGGTCGCAACCCCAGTGCCATCAACAGTTGTGTGACTACGGCGGCTATTCGTCATGCTGCCCTCTTTATCCAAAAGTCCGCCTCGGCATAAAGCGGTTTTCAGATGTGAAACAATCTGTCGGCGAAAGTCCCGCCCGCGATGTGTCCGCGAAAGGCAAGCTATTATCCGCGAAAGTTATTCCGCAACAGACTTGGCAAATAAGACTTATGTAGAGAGCATACCCAGCCTCAGCGTCAGAGTGGCTTCACCATCGAAACTGACAACCTCGTCCCCTGCGTTGTTGTCATGACACAGTCTACCCACCTTCTTGGCATATGTTTTTTTGGATGCTGCTTGTGCGTTTACTACTGCTAATATTACTACTACTACTACTACTACTACTACTACTACTACTACTACTACTACTACTACTACCACTACTACTACTACTACTACTACTACTACTGCTACTACTACTACTACTACTACCCACTACTACCAGTACTACTACCAGTACTACTACCAGTACTACTACCAGTACTACCACCAGTACTACTACCACTACTACTACCAGTACCACTACTACTACTACCACCACTACTACTACTACTTCTACTACTGCTGCTGCTGCTACTACCACCACTACCACTACTACCACTACTACCACTACTACCACTACCACCACTACTACCACTACTACCACTACTACCACTACTACCACTATTACCACTACTACCACTACTACCACTACTACCACTACTACCACTACTACCACTACTACCACTACTACCACTACTACCACTACTACCACTACTACCACTACTACCACTACTACCACTACTACCACTAGTACTGGCACTATGCTACCACTACTACCACTACTACTACTACTGCTACTACTACTACTACTACTACTACTCCTACTACTCCTGCTACTACTACTACTACTACTACTACTCCTACTACTACTGCTACTACTACCACTACTACTACTACTACTGCTACTACTACTACTACTACTACCACTACCACTACTACTACCACTACTACTACTACTACTACTACCACTACCACTACCACTACCACTACCACTACCACTACCACTACCACTACCACTACCACTACCACTACCACTACCACTACCACTACCACTACCACTACACTACTACTACTACTACTACTACTACTACTACTACTGCTGCTGCTGCTGCTGCTGCTACTGCTACTGCTACTGCTACTGCTACTGCTACTGCTACTGCTACCACGACCACTACCACTACCACTACCACTACCACTACCACCACCGCCACCACCACCACCACTACCACTACCACCACCACCACGACGACGACGACTACTACTACTACTACTGCTACTTCTGCTGCTACTGCTACTGCTACTACTGCTGCTGCTACTGCTACTGCTATTGCTACTGCTACCACTACCACTGCCACTACCACTACCACTACCACTACTGCCACTACTACCACTACTACCACTACTACCACTACTACCACTACTACCACTACGACCGCTACTACCTCTTCTGCCACTACTTCCACGACTACCACTACTACCACTACTACCACTACTACTTCTACTACCAGTCCTACCTCTTCTGCCACTACTACCACGACTACCACGACTACCACGACTACCACGACTACCACGACTACCACGACTACCACTACTACCATTACTACCACTTGCAGGCCTTGCAGGGTATCGCTCGACCAGGTTCAGACTGTCGGCTATGCAAAAGAGTTTATAGGCTGATGCTCGGTCGGAGATAGGCACTGGATTATGCAGGTTGCAGGTGCAGTAGGCTTCCTCAATTTTTTTCTCGATGCTACCTCCGGTTCCCTCAAGGCCGAAGCATCAGCAAAAGCCCGACATGAGGGCATGTGAGCTAGGTTGAACTGCCTGTGCAAAATTACTTGATGGAAAACCCCTCGCTGCACAGCTTGTGGTGTATTCGGCGTGTTTACGTTCTGGAGCAATCATTGCTCTACACCATGGCTGTCAGCTTCACCTGGCGGAGTGGACTTGTCCATCGAAGGGGTCGAAGGATGTCTGAGTGTTCTTCTTGCGGGCGCTTGGCTTGCTGTATGCGCGTGGTTGCGTTGCTGTCCAGCCGCCATTGCTTTTGGCGAGCATGAGGGCAGTGTGTGGCGTTACAACCGACGACACCAGAGCACACGGCATCCTGATGGAAAGATCGCAGGCCTTCGACGCAGGGTTTGGCCAGCCCGCTTGAGTCTACCCCAGTTCCCACCACCGACAGCTATTGTCGGGGTCCAGCATTGACACCCGCTGTATCGTGATTGACCAGGTCTCGTGGAGCAATGGGACGTGGTGAAAACCTGGCTTGCTGTTTATGTGATGGGTTATCGTCAAGCTTGAGTGGTCACATGTGTCAAGGTCCAGGCTGCTCCCAACTGCAGAAGCGCACATGCAAACTCAGAAAGCTTCCAACAGCTTGATTGTTTCGGGCAATGGACCGACATCGGTAGCTGAGTCAGCTATCGCTGCGATTGCGGGAGCAAAAAAACAAGCCTCGAGAACTCAACTAAATAAGAAACCAGAATCCCGGGATGACGTGTTCTTGCAACGCCAACGATGTTCAGGTCAGTAATCTTCATTGGCAATGGCAGTCAGAACGTGAAGCCACACGAAACTGCAAATACGGACAGCAACAAGCTGTCCATTCAGAACAGCCGTTGCGCTGGCGGAAGAAGCAGGACAACTACTGCCCATTCCGTGCCCATGACAAACACAGCATGCCAACAGAGCAGGTTGAAGTACAGGACCACACGTACAGCACCGCCAGATGAAACGATCCTCTCACAAACTATGAAAGGGGCACCTCACGCACCTTTCCAGTGGTCCAGTCAGGGCAGCCGCACAAGCATAGGCTTCCGGTCCAGTTGAGCGAAGACTCGCCACACTTGCCAAACAACACGGATCGCAAGCGCACCCACTTTCCAAAACTAGAGAAGCCACGCTGCTATGCAGCCTGCTCAAGCTTGCACGCCGACTTCAGTCAG